AAAGAACTAGGTAAATTGTGAAGGGCTAGACTGCGGAAAAAATGTCAGGTTTTATTTTTATACATACTAAAAGAAAATCCTTTTTTTTTCTTCCTATCCATACACTACTCATTCATGAGTAAAAGGAAGAAAATAAGAATTACTGATAACCCTACTGGAATCTGAATAGCTTTCCTTCTGCTCTGTTTTTCTGTACAAGGACAAACATTAAAAAACAAAAACCCAAAAACCAAGATCATATGGCACGTAGTATTTTATGATGTATTTTTAAACTTAAAGTGCCATGAACGTTTTCCATAGCATTAAATATTCTCATGCAAATTCAACTCTCAGGTCTATAAAGGGTTCTGTAGTCTGGCTCTACCACCGTTTACGTGCTAATTCCACTACGTGGCGTACAGATTGTTTCTAAGTTGTTCTCACCTGACAACACCGTTCTTCCCTAAGTGTTGCCTGAGGCAGTCAAGACTAGAACTTTACACCATTTAGTGTGGGAGTCAGAGCTCTGTAAGTTCAACGTGAGATAAACAGGGTCTTGACTCAAGGCCAGACTGTCACCACGACAGGTGCTTCTCTGCATACAAGTATGGTCCTAGCGGGTTCCCATTCACTAAGGTGCTGATTGTACATTGTGTATTCATTTGTTCACTTGCCCTCTGAATGTTCGCAGCCAGCCTATGCTGGCTACTATTGAGAATACAGTCTTACCCTCATGGTTGGTAATCCAGATGAGAAAAGAAAGCAGAGAATCAGAAAAAGTTAAACAGAAGGAAAGTTGGCTTCCATTAAATAGTGCCAGTGTATCAGCAGTTGGCATCTCAGTGAGAGAGGCCAGACTTGGCTCAGGAAGGTGAATGTTTGAATTCCTGCTTTCTACTGTCTGTGGGCAACTTTCTAGCACTCTGAACCTCAGATTCTTCTAAAAAATGAGTACCTGATGTGTTGGTTGCTGAATCTAATAACTCCTACTGAGATAATAGGTTTGTCTATGCTTAACACAAGAGGCACTCACACTTTATTTTCTGAACATGCTTGGACTTCCCCAGGGGTGGCAGACTTTCTTGAATCTTAGCTTCTAAGGCGTTCTGCTCCAGCTTAGCTATTGCCATCATTTTCTTCTCCCTCCTGCTTGGGCATCAGGCATGGGGGACTGAGCCATGTGGAGTGGGTTCCAGGGCCCCAAGAAGCAAGTCCTGATGCCCTGCTCTGTTTGCCCGCAGCGATCGGCTGGCCCTGCTCCAGGTCAGGAGGATCCTGCAGCAGCTCGGCCTGGACAGCACATGTGAGGACAGCATCGTGGTGAAGGAGGTGTGTGGAGCAGTGTCCCGGCGGGCAGCCCAGCTCTACGGCGCTGGCCTGGCCGCCATTGTGGAGAAAAGGAGGGAAGACCAGGGGCTTGAGCACCTGAAGATCACTGTGGGTGTGGACGGCACCCTGTACAAGCTGCACCCGCAGTGAGTGCTCCAAAGAGGCGGGGGTGGGAGGCTGCTGAGTCCGAGTGTGGACCCCCTGGCTCTGCTTCCTGGTGATATGATGTGGGCATGTTCACCATTCTCTCTGAGCTTCAGGTTCCTCATCTGTAAAAGGCAGGTTGTAATAACCTCTACCTCACAGGACTGCTTAGGATTGAGTGAGTTCATACATGTAAAGTGCTTTTCATAGTGCTCAATAAATACAAGTGGTTATTACTACACAGTCCCACCTGACTTCACAGGGGAGTGATGACAACTGAATATTTTGCACCGCATGCAGCATCTGTCAAGTCTGAGTTCAGAGTCAGTGGGTAGAAGAATTAAGAGTGAGTTTGAATACTGGCTCCACCACTTAGAAGCCGGGAAGTCCAGGGCCAGTTTCTTACCCTCTTTGAGCCTCAGTTCTTTATCTGTAAAATGATGGACAAAAATCATACCTACCTCATAGATTGTTGTGAGAATTAAGTTAGTGTCTGTAGGGTGCATGGCACATCACAAAAACTTCAGTGATGAAAGCTTTTATTTTTGCTTAATGTTTTACATTTTGTTTTGGTAATGAAGAGATGTATTAGCAAGCTTATGAAAATTTTCAATCATGCTGAAATGTATACACAAACAATTTATCACTGTAATCCTTGATCCTTAACCCTTCTTATGATGCTGACTTATTATCTAAAATAACTGATGTCTTCACTTGGTTTTCCCCTTGGGGTCACATATTTTTGGTACGGTTCTTACAAGCCTCCCACTTTGAACCAAGACTTGACCAAAGGACAAAAACCATGATCATTTCAATAGGTGCAAAGCATTTGATAAAACCTAACGCCCTTCATGATAAGAGCGCTCAACAAACGAGGAATAAGGGAACTTCAACATGATAAAAGCAGCTGTGAAAAACCCACAGCTAAATTGTAGAATAGATAAACAAGATTACACTGTATAGCACAGGGAAATATACACAAAATGTTATGATAAATCACAGAGAAAAAAATGTGACAATGAGTGTGTATATGTCCATGAATGACTGAAAAATTGTGCTGAACACTGGAATTTGACACAACATTGTAAAATGATTATAAATCAATAAAAAATGTTAAAAAAAAACAAAACCCACAGCTGATGTCATATTCACTGGGGAAGCACTGGATGTTTTTCCCTTAAAATTAGGAACAAGACAAGGATGTCCACTCTTGCCACTCCTCCTCTGTACTTCTTCTGGCACCGCCTCGGGAAGGTGGTTTGTCTCCCTTGATTCAAGGGAGGGGTTTGTAGAAACCAGACCAAAAATATGTGACCTCAAGGAGAAAATCAAGGGTAAGTCTAGCAAAGTCAGTTAGGCAAGAAAAAGAAAGAAAAGGCGTCCATATTGGGAAGGCAAAAGTAAAACTGTCTTTGTTTGCAGATGACATGATTTTGCATGTAGAAATGCTAAGGAATCTGGAAAAAACTATTGAAACTAATAAACAAGTTCAGCAAGGTTTTAGGATTTAAGATCAGTATAGAAAGTCAGTTGCATTTCTGTGCATTAACAATGAATAGTCTGAAAAAGAAATTAAGAAAACAGTTCCATTTAAAATAGCATCAAAAAGAATAAATTACTTAGTAATAAATTTAACAAAAGGAGTGTAAGACTTGTACATTGAAAACCACACAATATTATTGAAAAAAAACTAAAGAAGACCTAAATAAATGGAAAGATATCCCATGCAAATGGATTGGAAGACAATGTTGTAAAGAGAGCAACTTCCCAAATCTTTTTTTTCAAATGAAGGTATAGATGACATGCAATATGATATTAGTTTTAGGTATACAACATAGGGATTTGACATTCATATACATTATAAATTGATCACCACAATAAGTCTAATAACTGTCTGTCACCATATAAATTTTTTTCAATATTATTGACTATATTCTCTATGCTGTACATTATATCCCCGACTTATTTTATAACTAGAAGTTCGTACCTCTTAATACCCTTCACCTATTTTGCCCAACCCTCTAGTCCACCTGCCTCCAACGATCACAGTAGTTTGTTTTCTGTATCTATGACTCTGTTTCTGTATCTATAACTCTGTTTCTGTTTTCTTTGTTCCTTTGTTTTATTAGATTTCACGTGTAAGTGAAATCACATAGTAGTTGTCTTTCTCTGTCTAACTTACTTCACTTGGCATAATGGATCCTATAGGTCCATCGATATTTTTGCAAATGGGAAGATTTCATTCTTATTATGGCTGAATAATATTCCATTGAATATATACCACATTTTCTTTATCCATTCATCTATTCATGGATACTTGGCTTTTGATATCTAGACTATGGTAAATAATGTTGCAATGAACATAGGGATGCATATATCTTTTCTAATTAGTGCCTTTGTTTTCTTTGGATGAATACCCAGGAGTGGAATTAGTGAATCATATGGTAGTTCTATTTTCAATTTTTTGAGGAACCTCCATACTGTTTTCCATAATGGCTACACCAATTTACATTCTCACCATCAACTGATGAATGGATAAACAAAATATGGTACATCTGTGCAATGGAATATTATTCGTAAAATGAACAAAGTGCCGATACATGCTACAACTAAATGCTGATGATGTTTCTCTTTCTCTTTTTTGTAGCTTTTCTCGGATATTGCAGGAAACTGTAAAAGAACTGGCCCCTCAATGTGATGTGACGTTCATGCTGTCAGAAGATGGGAGTGGAAAGGGAGCAGCTCTGATCACTGCTGTGGCCAAGAGGTTACAGCAGGCACGGAAGGAGAACTAGGAACCCCTTAGGGTCGGGCCCGATGAGCCTTGGATACTGACCAGCCTTTCCTCTGGCCAATGAGTTGGTCAGGGACCGACAGGCAAGCTTCTGACTGACTTCAGCTTCTGGATGGCCGAAAGAGAACCCCAGGTTCTTGGGTACTCTTAGCATTTTGTTACTCATTTTCAAGGGCATTAAATGACATTTCTATTTGGCATATTTGGACCAAAGATTGGCCAACTTATAAAATCAAAACGTTGGGCCCAAGAGATGCCTTTATAGCAAATTTTCAGTTAAGGCCTGAGCTGTTAGTTCTCTGTGGTCCTGTGGCTGCTGGACTTGGAAACATATACACGATCTGCCTGTGTGGCTTGGCTGGCTGAGTTCCCCACTGGGATGCTTCTGCCATCACTTGTAGTATTGGACCTTCCACATGTGGATGCACATTTGAGAGGGATAGGGGCTCATGTAATCAACTGGAGATCTAATCTGACTTGTCATTAGCTTGTTATGTTGACTTCAAGTATGAAGAGAGAGCAAAGACTTTGGAGTATTCAGCGCCAGGATGAAGAAGGGTTGATTGCTAGGGAGCCCTGTAGGAAACTTCTCATGCTTAGAGTGGGTTATATTAGCACCCTGTAGGATTTTTGTTTCTCAATACATGTGTGTGATGGGGGGTGCTTCCATTTGGGGCACATGTTATCATTTTACGTGTGGTTTGTGTTGCTGCTGCTGATAGCTGTTTTAAGGACTGTTAGGTATATGAAATCCAGTAAATGAATAAAACTTATTTGATTTCCCAAGAATCTTTGCTTGAAGTATTAATATTTTATCTGGGAGGCTCACTTGGCAACTTCATGCTCTGTTGGTTGAATAAGGGACACATGGAGTCAGAAGTTGCTGAGAGCATCTCTCGAGTTCAGATTTCTTACCAATGGGAAGATATATGGAATATCTGCTACAATATCTTTAACAGATTGTCCAAATTTCATTGGAATGAATACTTCCTGTGACTGGATGTTTACCACATGATCCTACAGCTCTTGCTTTTAAATGGCTGGAATTGATCAGAAGTCCTTCCAATCCTGAACTAACCTCTACCTCTGTGAAACTCGGTGCCTCCCACGTGCCCCATCAGTCTCCATTCTATCTATCTTCCAGAACTAAGAGGAATTGACTTGTTCTGACCATTTCCCCAGTGGACATCCTTTCTCTTTCTCTTTCTCTTTCTCTTTCTCTTTTCTCTTTCTCTTCACATTGCTGCCTTATTTGAACCACTTTATTTGAACCACCTGTGACTTTCTACCTTGTCGTAGAGTTATCTGTTTGCATTTCTTATCTGACCTAGTAGATTGTAAGCTCTTTGTGAGATGCATTTTTGTGTTGTCCCAGTGAACACAGCACTGTGCCATTCTTATTAAATACTTACTGGATGGAGACATGATTGAAATAAAGTGTTTCAAGAAAACTTTCTTGGAAAAAGTGGAGGCCATTATCATGAGAAACAAACTGAAAAAATAGTATTACAGATTATCCAGGTTGATTTATGTACTTATTTCTAGTGCTACTTTGTCACCATTTGCTGAAACAGGCTGTTCAGACAGACAGGATGGAGAAGGCTGGAGAAGGGTAAGAGAGAGGCCGGCTGAAGCTGGGGACAGATGAGGAAGCTGAGATTCCTTAGGAAATATTTTTTCAAAAATTTAGGAAACAAGTATGGGGATATTGTTGTGGGTGGGTCCTAGATTTACCAAAATGAAAAAATTTTAATTTTAAAGTTATACCTCTCTGCAGAGATGTTGTGTGGATTTGTTAAATTTATCTTTTTGTATTTTGAGGTTTTGCCTCTTTGGGAAAATGTTTCACCTTGGATGTTGTCTCAGTCAGCGCCGAGCCTTGTTGTCCTTGTTACCTTTCCCCAGTTCTCTTATTCCTTGGTAAGACACCCCCAGATCCAAGTCCCTCTCCTTCCTGGTTCTGCTGAGGTCTCTCCCTTTGCCATCCTGCCTGGATGGATGATCTGGCCCAAAGATTCAGGTAGTTGTGCCATCACATCCTCCCACAACCTGGTCTTTCTACACATTTTGGCAGGTCCAAGGTCAATCAACCTACTTGTCTCTCAGCTTTGGTCTCACGAGAAAAAGAAGCCTCAAGGTAACTAGGCAACCTTGCAGATTCTGACTAATGGATAGCATCATAGAATCCTTGAACCAGGACGGAACTACAGAGAAGGCAGACATCCATTTTGCTGTCTTTGGACAGGCAAGCCCCTGAAACACCTGGGACAATGGAGGGTTAACTTCTCAAAGTTTATTAAGCAAGACCAGCAACCACACAACAAGGTACGCTGTCCTTATGTGAATCCCATAGACTTTTCCTCTAAGGAAGGACATCGTCACCTACATTTTCTACCCCTGTGGTTACTTTCTCCCAGGAACCTTTTGGCTAGAGAGAGCTGATGAATATAGATTTAAGAACTAGATTTACCCCATGACTCTGACTCTCCAGGACAAATGACTTCATTCCCATTTGTCTGTCTTCAGATATCTTGTTTTCTATTCTTTCCATTAGCTGAAATGTGCGCTTCATGAGAGGACTTAGCTCTCATTTTCCGTTTTCCCCAGAGCCTACCATAGTGGCTGGCCTTGAGTAGCCATTGGACAATTCTCTAAATGAATGAATGAAGAAATACCCAAACAAGCATGTGAATGAATTATTGCTCTCCTTTGAATCACTCCATTCTACCTCACCCAATCGGACTTGAGCCTTATACACAGTAGATACTGTATAAATGGTGATTCAGTAAATGCTAAGCCCTGTTCTAGGCACCGAGGACCCAAAGAAATAAAAGGTACCATTCCAGCTTTATAAGAACTCACAGGCTAACAAGGAAGGAAGGAATTTACAATATTGTATTGCAGATATTTACAACAAGAACAAGAGGAAGACAATTCTTGACCATGTCCAGCATCCCTTAAATCAGAAACTATCTGTGTGTGTCTGTGTACATGTGCACATGCATGTTTGTGCATGTGCACAATAAACCCCTTTGGCAAGCATGTGGAACCCATGGATCCTTTCTCATAATGTTTTTAAGTGCATACAATACATAGGATTATGAAGGAAATCAGTGGTAGTGAATTACAGTTGTTAGAATATTAATGTGATAATATAGCAGTAGATGTGCTTATTTGTTAATGTGTTCTATAAGATCCATCACGAACCTAATAACAATCATAACTTTCCTGATGAATGTAAACAGTATTTTGAGACATTTGTAATAAAAGCACAGATTTTAAAATGTCCATAGTTTCCACTAGAGACAAAATCACAGGTTCTAACACTGCTTAGTTTGTTGCTCATATTCATAATGGAGGGAAACACTAAATTTCAGTTAGAGGTGATTGAGATAAAGTTGAAACTTTTTTCCAAAGAAGTTTATGAACTCCCCTCTTTGAAGGTCCCCCACCCCACTTGGGGCCCAGGTTAATATTCCTTGATTGAAATAGCCCAATTGACCTGGCACTTATTTAGGGAGGGATAGCATCTTAGATGGCAGAGAGGCGGTGTGGTTTGGATTCAGAACTCAGCACGGTCTTTAACCTTTCTGAGCTTCAGTTTCCTTATGTGAGAAAGGAGAATAATATAACAGCCTAACAAGGTTATGTGAACAACACAAGCTAAATATGCAGACATGTGGATAAGCCACTTGTACACGTGTGAGGTGGTTGTGTTTGGTCTCTGCTGTTGTTAGGGAGCCTGTCTCATCATTGGTATGGTCCTTCCAAACCTATTGTCCAGACATATCAATGGCTAATGGCTGGCAACTGGGGGACATGGATTTCTTACAACCTCTTCCTTCTACCTCTGTGGTCTTCATATTCCCTCTCTTGCCATTCCACCGTTGAAATTCCTGGTGAACTGTATTTTACTGGAAAAAGGAGGGGACTTAGGATTCACTGGGTAATAACAGGAACCTGGTAGCTCATATTTGGGGTGACGTAGGAAAGATGATTACAGTAAAAGACTTGGATTCTTTTCTGGTCTAGCCAGGGAAAGAATGAAGCTGGAGGGAAAGTGAAAATACTAAAAAATCTTCCTTTTCTTTTTTTCTAATAAGAAAAGAGAGGGAGAAAGGTAGGTCACTGACAACTTAGGGAGTCAAAATGGTTTGAGGGATTGGTCTAGAGAGCAGGGAAGCACTGACAGCATAAGGGACAACTATTATTTGCATCACAGTCTGTATGTGGCTCAGTTCCTATTGAGCCACCTCCGTGGTAGCTAGCATGGTCTAAAGTGCCCTTTCACAAGGTATGTTCTAAGTTTAACTGGATGTTCCCAAGTTTACTAGTCTCTGGAGTCACCCTTTCCTTTAATAATTAAACAAAATGGCTCACTTCTCCATCCCATGTACTGAGGAAAACTCTTATCTCCCACCCTAACATTTCAGCAATTTCGGAAGAGAATGTTTATACCTTGCAGTTACGCCCCTAATTCCTGCCTCCAGTTCGCTTCCCACTCACCTCTACTGATCTCACAATTCCTGCAGCTGCTGCCTCTCTCTCTATTTTGCCTGATGTGTAGAACTGTTCCTTCCTCTTTGATTCCCCAAGACACCATTAACTCAAGGCCAGTGACTGGAAAAGACTTAGCTAAAGGTTTTGGGATTGTGGCGGGGGACTACTTCACAGAATAGGAAACAGTTTAATTATGAATATTAGATATCGAAGTTCTATGCCCATCTCTACCCCAGGGAATGTCTCCTGGCCATCTTTCTCCATAGGCTCTACTGGCTGCATGTTTCATGAATTCTTCCAACTTTCTCTGGAGACTTCCTTCTCCTGTTTTCCTCTTCTCTGAATTCTGGACTCCTCCGAAAAATGAAAAATTCTGATAGTTTTACTTTACAAAGTAAATGGTTCTCCTATGGTCTCAATTGACTTCTAGGACAGCCCAAGGGACCTCACCTTTCCCAACCAAAAAGTCTCACTGAGGTATTAGAGTAAAAAGAAAGATTTTCTCTCTAAAAGGAATTATTCTGTTCTATTAGAGTCAAGCTACAGAAAGCACTTTTTCCTTGACATACAGTAAATTGCATGTATTTAAAATGTATAATATGATACATATTGATGATATTGTGACCACAATCAAAATAGTGAACATATCCATCACCACCAAGTTTCCTTTTGACCCTTTGTAATCCCTCTTTCCTGCCCCTCTCTCCCTCCTCCATGTTTGGGTAATTACTGATCTGCTTTATTTTTGTATAATTTATTTGGCATTTTTTAGAATTTTATATAAAAGGAGCACTGGTACTTTTTTGATCTAGGTTCCTTCATACAGTATACTTATTTTGAGACTCACCCATGTTGTTGCAAGTATCAAGTCTTCAGTCATTTTATTGCTGAGTATTCTGTTGTGTGAAAATACCACACTTTGTTCATCCGTTCACCTATTCATGGGTATTTGGGTTGTTTCCAGTTTGGGGTTATTAAAAATAAAGCAGCTATGAACATTGTGTATGTATAAGTCTTTATATGGACATATATTTTCATTTCTTGTGGGTAAGTATCTAGGAATGGAGTGGCGAGGTCATTTGGTGAAAATTTCTGGCAAAAGCTAAACTATTTTCCAAAGTTTTTTAGGTTCCACTTATAAATAAAATCATACAGTATTTCTCTTTCTCTGTCTGACTTACAATGTTGATTTCTTAAAAGTACCTCAGCTAGTTGTCAATCCCTTAGGACTGATGTTAAGAAAGAGCTCTATCGGTCATTGTATTGATGCTGCGTTGCGTCTAGTCAAT